ATATATATATATATATATATATATATATATATATATATATATATATATATATATATATATATATATATATATAATTAACAAAACATAGCAAGTATAAAAATATAGGCTATTAATTTTGATGTTACTAACTTATCAAAATGATTATTTATATAATAAATAATTAAACTCGAGAGATAGAAACAAATAACTTAAATAGGGCAATAAAAATAAATAATCAAAACATACTTATACATATAACATTAACTATTTATCAAATAATAAAATTTACTAAAAAGATAAATGTATTTCATATAAAAATATCAAGATGTTACATTTTTGTCCCCTAAAAATAGTTCCGTTCTCGAAACAAGAAAATTATGGTAAATCAGTTCTTTTCTATTTGATTTTTTGAGGTGTAACAAATGGTGCTGAAGAATGGGAATATTTAGGGAAATGAAGGCATGTTATGGAAATAGAAAGCAAGGAAGCTATAGTGATGAAGCTCAGATTGCTCAAAGCTTCAAATCAATCTAGGATTTGGAATTTCTTCATGAACAAGAAGAAGTTTACAATTAAAAGAGTAATGGTCTTTCTTGGTAGTGGCTTTTTTGATTCACTTTTGGTTGTTGCTTAGTGTAGTATCTCTTAGGTTTTATAGGATGAGATTAGGTCTAATTTCAAGTTTGTGAGATTATCAAGTTTGTGAGATTTTGGATGAGAATGAGGGGAAATTCGTGTAAATTCTTTTATGATTATATGTGAGTCGTAATGTAAATTGAGAGAGTAAGAAAGTTAGATCAAATCACGGGATTGCCATGTGCAATCCGTGTGTGAGTAATGAGAGTTAAGGGTAGAAAATGTGTGATTTTGAGACTTGGGTGTGAAGTTTGTTAGGAGATGTTATGCATTCCGTGTCACTTTCTATTGTAAGGAATTGTGTAAGTATCATTATGTGTTGATGATAGAATGAATGAAAATTTGATTATTTTTTTTTGTCTTTTGTGCAATTTTGGTTTGATGTTGACTTTGTCTTATGTGTGGTATGCTTCATGATGGATGTGTGCTTATGAATTGAATGATAATGGAATGAAACTTAAACTTTGTCTTTTATGTATAATTCTACAATTTGTTGATTTTTGTAAGTTGACTTTTATGCAATGATGTATATATGATAAATGAAGACGATAATGAATGTATGATCATTAGAATACTTATTTGATTGATGTTTAGGGTACAAAACTTCCATTTTGTTGACTTTTGTTTTATACCTTTCATAAGGAGTAAAAATATATATGTATGGTGAATGAAAATAAGTCATGGATGAATGGTGAGAGATGCAATTTTTAAATCTGACCTAAATGTAAGGTTTCACACTTGTTGAGTTCAATTGGCCTTTAAGCACTTTGTACATGAAGGATACAATAGACTTTGAATGATGCATATAATCACCTGACTAAAATGCAATGAGAATATTTTAGATTTTTGAGTGGATAAATTTTTTTTCTTTTATTCGACTTTTGGTCCTTATTGACCTTTTGCAAAACATGTAAAAATGTAAAGGTTTTGTGAAAAATGATAATGAGACTTGTAAATAGTATTAACAAGAACGTAAATGTTTAAAGATAACCAAAAGAAAATTAGGACGAAATTTAGGGTACAATACATGTCATGGACTCTCAAACCACTATTGACTCAGACAGAGAGAATAAGGTTCTTAAACCTACAAAGATATAATTTCCAAGTAAGGGAAATACTCTTATCTTCCATGTCCTTCCCTTATATAGATGTTTTGGGAAAAATGGAGTCATTAAGAGATTTCCAAAGAGTCCAAGTCACTGTATGCCAAACCAGTATAAGACCTCCTCTAACCCTCATTGAACTTGCTAAAGAAGTGAAAACCTCAAAGAGTGAGATAATAGTACTAAATAAGTCTGACATCCTCCCAATCCACCATTAAATCCTATACCAAATATTTGATACCACCTTACAAACAATGAAAAAGTGAGAAATAAACTCAATAGGCCCAATATATAGCCCATACCATCCAGGTCAAGAATGATCTGCCATCTAAATAAATTCTCACGGGTAACAATCTTATATTAGAGCAACTACCAAGAAAAAACCACTACTCTAGAGGGAGCTCGAGTACACCAAATAAAATACAGAATAATAACCAAACAATTGAAGGGAACAATAGAATCATAATTAGACTCAAATAGAGTTGTATAAGTAGAAGATATTGTGTAAATCCCATCCTCATAAGGATGCCAACACCAACGATTTCTATCCAAGGAGAAGATAGTACCCTGAATAGTCAGAAGTAGGTTATCAACCAACTCATATTCATAATCAAACAAGGGACTTTTTCACTTTAGATCCCAAACTAAATTACCATCTTCCCAACGACCAATCCCCTTTCCCCTTTTTTTTGCTATGAGATAGGGTAAAGTAGATAAAAAGGAATTATAACAGGGATAAACCCCACCCACAGCCAATTCTAGAACGAGGCATGCATACCATTTTCCACTTTCCTACTAATCATATATATAAACCAATCAGATGGGGCATCACTCTTAGATCCTAAAAGAGACACCCTTCACCAAGAAGAAAAAGGTTGAAGCCTCAAAGACCTACCCTCTAAGAGAGAAGAAATCATAATATCTACATATATAGTAGAAAGAATATCATACAAAATCCTTGAAGCTCATGAGAGAAATCTCCACCTCTATTTACATAAGAGAGCTAGATTAGTAAGACAAAGATCACAAATACTAAGGCGTCCCAAATGCTTATGCTTACAAACATAAGACCAATTAACCCAAGAGTTTTTTTTTTTACTTTACCTTTCATTCCACCCCACAAAAACCTCCTATGGCTATTAATAGTCATCTTCCAAACCTTAATAGGCATCTTCATAAAGGATAAGTAAAATATTAGTATTATATTCAACACCCAATTGAGAATGATCACATATTAAGTAAAATATTAATATTAATATTGCATTCACGAACCTATTTTGCATTCAAATCTACCACTAAACTTCTATATCTATGGATCCAAGAGAGCAAACAACTACAAAGTAGGGACATAAGAGGTTCCCAATAAGCTTATATAGGGGGATTCACTACTACATGAAAACCTAGGTACTTTATGTCTTTATTTGCGAGTTTGGAAGGGAGGAGAATGAACGGCTTTCAAAAACGACTTTTTAAAAAAATATAAGAAAAATATTTGACATTAAAAAAAATGATTTTGTATAAAATGATTAAAAAAATGTTAATCATTACTACTCTCTCTGTAATGATTTATAAACAAATTTGACTTTTTTTGGTACATTTAACAATTAATCTATCTAATCTATATATGGAGTAAATACATTAATTGTCAAATGTACCAAAAACTCAAATTTGCTTATAAATCACTACAGATGGAACATTTAATTTTTATAATAGTATAATAACATTAAAAATATTTGAAATTTTATGTAAGTCTTTCAAAACCATCTAAAACACTTATTTAATACAAATTTTAAGTTTTCATAAATTATGGAATTTTTGATGTTATGAATAAAAATAAACCTTTCAAAATCTTCCAACCAAAATCTTTTAATTTTTTCCAGTAAATTCTTTCCTTTTTTCAAAGCCATCTCCTCCTTTCTTTTTCAAACTCGCAAAGAGACCCTTAAATCCAGAAAAGTCATACCATTAAATTAAAAAAAAAGCCTGATGATAGAAATTGAGAAACTCACTAACTAATTCCAAAAAAAGATCAACATTAACTCAAAATAAAAATGAATGAAATGTACATTAACGATAATTTTAATTGTCCCGTAAAAAAAAACAATAATTTTAATATGTAAATCACAATTAGATTCAAAAGTTACAAACTTAATTTTAAAATTAAAATCAATTCTAAAAAATAATAATTTTATAAAAAACAATCAAACATGCAAAATTAATTTTACACCGTTTAGATCAAATTTAGCATGTAGGAATAGTAACACATTTGAACATATTTTTTTATTCAACGGAGACTCGTAGCTTATTTACTCTAATCTTTTCTCTAACGAAAAAATGAAAGAATTTGACTTTATGGAGAATATGAAAACCGTATGCAAAAACTTAGGCAGACAGTGTTACTTTCAGAAAAGGAAGCCTTGAAGATGACGTACTATATAGATACAGTAATTTCACAAACCAGATAGAAGAAGTTAAGTAGTTTCGAGGAAGAAGTAAATTCAGCAATCGACGTTACCGTGTAGTTTCGTTTAAATGAGAAAAAAAAAAGAAGTAAAGAAAGAGAGAGAAAAAAAGGTGTGATGTTGTCCCTTTCAAAAGGTGTGGCATGCATAGAAAGGATCTATCTCCAACAAAGGCATCCTTACACACACCTTTTTGAAATAATAAAAAACCAACAGTTATAAGTTTTAACCAGAAGCAATTTACCATTAATAATGTTAAGTAAATTGGTGAAAGTTGAATGAATGAATGAATGGATATTGGATAGTACAAAGAAGAGCAGCAGAGGTGCAGTGATGAAATAAAACGTCCATTCTGACCAAACACTGCCACCCATTGTCACTGCCATCATCATCAAAACCCTCTTTCTTATAGGGTCAGAATCAATTCCTCTTCCCTATACTATACGCTCTTTATTTACTCTTATCTCTCTCTTCTTTCCTTCTCTTGTCTTCCTGTGTGTTGAGATATGGAAAATTTGCTGGATTTTTCACAACAGGACACCTCTTTCACTGGATATTAACCCACTATACTTTCTTTCATTTATTAATGCAACATTATTATTATCATTATTACTAGTGCACAACAAACAAACTCTTTCCACTTGCAAAAAAGGCAAAAATTGGTGCACTCTTACAGAAAGAGAGAGAAATGGGTTAGGCTCTTCAACTCAAAACCATTCATTCATTCTTGGGTTTTTGGTACTGATGATGGAAATGGGAAGCATTCATTCATTCTTGTTTTTTTTTTGGGTTTCAGAGTGGTTACAGTATCAAAAAAGCATTAGTATAGTAGTGTTGTGTTAAAAGCTGGAAGAAGATAAACACAATAAGGGTCTGAGTCTGGATCCTCCCAGAACAAATCACCATCCTCTTTATCATCATCAACACAACCAACAGCACCCTCACCACCATGTTCCAAATGAGCAAGAAGAAGACGATGAACAAAACTCTTCTCATAAACACTATCAATACCAAGACCCAACCTTTCCTTTTCATCACCCTTATTTCCAACAGCATCTAGATTTAGAGCCTGAGCCTGAGCCTGAACCAGAACCAGAAACGGAACCAATTCAACCATCAAAGAAACGTTCACTTCTTCTTCCACCACTACACCCAAATCAACCACCACCATCCTCTTCCATCGAATATGCAAGAAAGATGGGAGAAGCAACACAATCAGCAGAAACAGCAACCCCGACAACAAAAACAAAAACAGCAGGAACCTCGTCAAAGAGAACAAGTGGAGGTGGAGAAATCGTGGAGGTGGAAGGAGGTCACATTGTCCGGTCAACTGGAAGAAAAGACCGTCACAGCAAAGTCTGCACTGCCAAAGGTCCCCGTGACCGCCGTGTACGACTCTCCGCCCACACCGCGATCCAATTCTACGACGTGCAAGACCGTTTGGGCTATGACCGGCCTAGTAAGGCAGTTGATTGGCTTATCAAAAAAGCCAAATCCGCCATCGACGAACTCGCTCAACTCCCCGCATGGAACCCCACCGCAACATGCTCTTCAACACCACAGCAGCAACAGCAAACTAACGAGTTGTACCGCCGGCAGTCCCCGGTGGACAACAGTCCAGTAACCGCCTCCACCAGTCACCGCTCAGCGGCATTAGAGCGAAGAATACCACATGAACAATTTTCTTCCCAACCATTAGAGATTGACTATAACAATAGTAGCGGGAAGCATGGTTTTCTTCATGGCTCATTGGACACTGACATTGCGGATACTATAAAATCTTTTTTCCCAGTTGAAACGCCCACGACGTCGTTTCACAGCTACCCACAACCGCCGGATTTGCTCTCCCGAACGGCCGCCACCACTCAGCAAGATCTCCGCCTCTCCTTGCAATCTTTTCAAGATCCTATTATGCTGCACCATCAAACTCAAAACCACCACCACAATCACCAAGTACTTTTCGCCGGAAACTCCTCACTCGGTTTCGACGGTGGTGGATCAAACAACATGTGGTCTGAGCAGCAGCAGCATCAAGAAGAACATGATAATAGCCGATTGCATAGAATGATGGCTTGGAATGCTAATGCTAATATTAATGCTGCAGATGGTGGTAACAGTGGCCATGGTGCTGGATTTGTGTTCAGCACACCCGCGCCAGCTTTCGGCGGTTTTGGCCAGCTTTTTTCACAGAGGGGACCCCTTCAGTCCAGTAACAATCCTTCAGTTCGTGCTTGGATAGATCCATCCATGGTGGGCTCGGCGAATATGACCGATCACCACCATCACTATCTTTCGCCGATGATCCATCAGGCTTCTGCCTCTGGTGGTGCCTTTCGTATACCAACACGAATTCAAGGTGAAGAGGAACACGACGGCGTATCTGATAAACCGTCCTCTGCTTCCTCCGATTCTCGCCATTGATTGAAACTCTAATAAAAAAATCTAAACTTTTCAGGTTCTATTTTCAGTACCACTTCAAATTTCATTTGAGTTCTATCTCTTTTGTTATTACTTGCAATTTTTTTACTGTATTTTCTTCTTATTTTGTCTGTCTTTAGGTTCACTCGTTTTGAAGATGATTTTCTAGACAGATTTGGTTGGTGTCCTTCAAGAATAACCCGGGTTTGGATTTTCAGATGTTTCTACTTCAATTCAATGGCTTATAAAAACCGTGTGGGAGCGAAGAAAATCTTTTTTTAATGACTCATTCACGTTTTCAATTTCGATCCCCCGGTTATGTTATGCATTTTATATTTATTCTTCAAGCTTTGACTAAGACTATGTGTGTTTTTTATCTTGTTTCATCTTTGTTGTTGGATTACAATTTGTAGTAGTTGTGTTGTATCTTAATTTGTACTTATTCCATTTCTAGTTTCCACTAGTAATCTGGAGAAAAAAAACATGCAGATTAAAATAACTGAGCTAGTTTGCTCAAAAGTTGTTGTTTATTTCCAACTTGGTGCAAACCCAAGATGCAGAATGAAGCATTTTCCTCTCGTCACAAAAAAGGTATTAGACCCAAATAACCCGACATTATAAACTCTGCATATTCAAACTTGTGTATGATTTTGGCTTGATATGTTGGTATACGGTTAATGCTGTCTCTGTTTCAAATAAGGATAGGTCTTATTTTTAACAGCTTACTACTCCAATTAGTTTTCAGCTACCTTGTCATTTGAAGGACAATTAGTAGTAAAATCTATATCAATATCAATCTCTTTCGTGCCTGAAATTTTGGTAAGATTTGAATGACAAGTCATTGTCCATCAACAATAGGAACTGTGGACGAAAGAAACAGTTTTGTATATTGTATGAAAGTTGATTCCGACCTTAGTATAATGGCAGTGTCCTAGATTCATTACGGTTTGTTTGCTCCTTTGCCTATCACATGTCATATTTTTGGGTTTTCTTCGTCTAGTTTAGTAAGCTACTATATGATAGTGACTCCAAAGGTTTATTATTAGGAATGGTGAAAGTTAGTATCACTCACACTTAGTTTACCCACTCATACTCACTATCAATTATAGTTCAAGGAATGGTTTTAACTACACATTTCTTTCCTTTTGGAACTAATCATAACTGCTTTTTGTTTGTTTTCAATCACTATCCACTGGATAGATATAGAGCTTTGTCATTGAGAATTTCTTTTGATACCTAGGACTCTTTTTAAGATTTCTGATGAAAAACTCAAAATATTTCTAGAATTTAAATATGTATATCCGAATGCATTTTATAATTATAAATTTAATTATTAGATTCATTGTTTAATTTCATATCATAAATTTATTTTAATATTTAATTTTCAATTATGAATTTAAGATATTCTTTATTAATAATTCAATTTAATTATATTATAAATAAATATTTTTTTAAAATAAAATCCAAAGAAATTTGAGGTATTGAACTATTTTAGATATATATATCTGAAATTTTTTAAAAAATAAAAAATAAAGATTCTTTCGGATATATATATAAAAAATAATCTAATATCTTAAATTCACAAAGTGCGAATGATATTTTTAGATTTTCAGTAATGAAAATCACCACTATTAATTGTAAAGAGAAATCATGTTATTTATTTTCAATCACGATTTTAATTTTGTCATCAGTCAGATATAAAGTTTAAAAATAATATTTATAAAGTGATACTATCTATAAACCGATTTTATAAAGTTATTTTAAATATTTTTAAAGAGTTTTTAAAATAAAAAAACTTGTTTTTAATTCAAGATTTTTTAAAATACATTTTAAATAAAAATAAAATAAAATATAAATATATTTTTAAATTCTTAAATTCATAATAAGTATTTGGATATATTTTTAATGTAAATTAATTTAAAATATTAATTTAATTTAAAATAATATAAATATAAAGAATAATATGACGTTGAATATGATTATGATATTGAATGTGATTGTTTAATTGTGTAAAGGTAGCACAGTGTTGACGTTTATTCTTTTCATTTTATTTCAAAATCTGGGGAGCCACGAAATGGATGGGGATGGATGAGCATTGAGCACAACGATACTCAATTATGAAAAGAGTACACACACTTACACACTCGCACACTCATGGATGCCACCAAATTTTGATGCTTGTACACCTGTTTGTGGTCCATCTCTACCTTGTAGTATAGCCTCATAAAAACCTTTTGAAATGTCCTCTTGAGAGGAATGCTCTTCTTTAAGGAGATAATAGTAATAATGAAGTAGAAAAGCCCTTGCTCTTTATTCAGATCGTGGCAATTATTCTTTGGTCTAGGGTGGTGGCTATAGGGTCGGTTAATAAATTAGATTAATTGCGTGCCGTAAATCTTAATTCGATCATTAACTACTATTTAAAACTCTCAGGTATTGCAAATATTTTAATGAAAGAATATAGATGCGACTTAGGACAACTTCTTATATGTTTGATAAGACCGAAAAAAGAATTTTAGTTTTTCTGTTTATATTAATGAAAAAATTCTGTTTAGTAATTCTATTTTAATTTTTAGTTTATAGTTTTTTTAATTAATTTTTAATTTCTTTTTAAAAATATTATTTGAAATAGTTTTTGAGTGTGTAGTTTTTAATTTGTGATTTTTTCCTTCTATTTATATCTTTATTATTTTAACAAAAATATATTATCTTTATTTATTAAAATGACTTTTTATTTTATTTTTTATCTATTAAATAATAAAATAGTTAATTTATCAAACATTCATGTTAGCTAATCAGCTATTAGTCACCAACTATAAATTTATCAGGTATAAGCTTCATGTTATTAGCTAGCAGCTAACCTGAAATAATTCAATGATATTCATATAATTTTTTTTTTACAATAACAATCTCAATGTGTTTCATTATTCAAAAGATGTTTTATAGAGAGCATCATATTAAAAATATTACATCTAGATTAAGAATCGACTGCCTTCGTAAGAGAATGGACAACCAAATTTGCTTGACGCTTAATAAATTTCATCTTGAAGTTAGAAAAAACATGTAATAAACTTGTAATGGATTTGATAATTAAACTAAATTCCGAATCACCCTTGTGAATAGAATGGATACTTTGGACCACCCGTTGAGACTCACTTTCGGAAATAACAATATTCAAGTGCAAAGCTATATCTCCGTGCATAGCCTCCTTAAGGGCCAAAGCTTTAACTTCTAAGATGGAGAGGTTCCGAATATCTCAAGCTGCACCTGCAATTACGAAATTCTCAATGTTATCCCGCACACGCCAACCTCGATTCTGTTAGTGCGTGAGACACTTTTAGTGAGAAGAGAAAGAGAGAACAATTAGAAAATAAGGATTATATTATTTACTTGAATTGTACTGTACAAATAATGATACAAATTGATCTTATCGAGATCAGAAGAATTTTCAGTGGCCTGCAACACTTGGGCTTCTGCAGTTGTTGAAGTGAATGAGGGGATGTACCTGCAAGGTACTCCGATGCCAAAGTAAAGTTCAGAGTAATAGAGAGCAAGTACAGAAAGTGAGAGTGAATAGAATAGAATACCTCATCCTCTAGTGAAAGATGATATTTATAGAGCCCCCAATGCTGGGCCAAGGTCCCCATCGTGGGCTGGATTTCTAGGTCCAAAATGGGTGACTGTCAGGATCCTACATCGTGGTCTTCGTCCAGAGTCAGCTTGCTCTGTGATCATCGGACGGTGGGTTGACCACGCCAGTTACGCAGGGTGTAACGGCTCCGAAGAGTACGAGGCAAGCTGGTGACGTGTCCTCGGAAGAAGGGCACGTGGACAACACATGTCCAGATCGGTCTCTAGAAGATTGGGCCACCCATTGGGTCGTTGTGGGCGAGAAGGTGATTTGGGTTATGCCCGATGTTGGGCCCTGCTTTGACCCAGTCCAGAACATGAGCCCCTAAATTGTTACTCATAAGCGAAGGAGTAATGACTTAAGGTCAACACGTGTGTCGAGAAAGATCAACTTTGTTTGCGTCGCTTCCGTTTGCTCATGGTGGTGGCATTTCCTTGACTGTGTGGGTGAGATAACACGTAAGGGTTATGCCCGTGTGAGGGAAAGTGGAAGTTTTGTCTTGTTTTTGACGAATGGGGAGACGAGAGGGTTTAAGCGTCTCGAGAAGGACACAAATCTGTTTCTTCAGCCATGTGTCGTAGCATTTAATGCATAATGATGGCCTAGGCATAGGGTTATGATGACCTAGGCGTAGGGGTAATGATGCGCCATTTCGACAACACATCTTCTTGTTCACTGTCACGTTTTCATGTGCGTGGAGAGCTGGCTATAAGTACCTGTGACTAGGTGCCATTTGTAACTTGCACTTCTTCTGCTCAACTTCTACTCTCGCTTTTCCCTCTGGTTTCTTGATTTCCAGAACTCTTCTCTGTCGCTGTCACCACCGTGCCTTTACCAGTCTCCATCTCTTTTCTTAACCCAATAAGTTTATTTTCAGATCTCGTTTCATTTTCTTGTCGTTTCTTAGGGTTTAGTTTGTTCTTCGCACCGTGTGATTCGTATGTTGAGTTTAGTCTGATTTCACCGCGTGTTGGTGTTTGGCAGTGGTCTGACCATCTCTGAATGCCAGCTCTGTCGGCGAGTGCTGCACTTTAGCTTAAGGTATGCTTGATTTCTGGCAAAGTTCATGTGACATGGATGTTTCTCCTCGCGATATTCATAGCTTCATGATGAATTTAATGTAAAGGGGATGCTTTTTCCCTGTGACATTCATGAATTCTTGATGAAATTCATACGACGGGGAGGCGTTCGTCGCGAGATTCATGAATTCTTGATGGAATTCATACGACAGGGAGGCTTTCCCTGCATAATCCTTGAATTCTCGGGTGTCGAATGGGTCCTCCTTGTGACTTCGTTGATTGAGCCCTGAGTCGGGGACAATTTGCCCCGATCCCCTTTTGTGCTGTTGAGTAAGGGCCTTGGTCAGAGAGTTCGCCCTCGTTCTTTTTACGTCCTTTCACTTGATTTATAATGGAGGGGTGTATTTGGTTTGATTGTCGAATTCATTGTTCTCCTCTGCTTTTCAGGTATGACAACTCACAATGCTGAGGAGATTCAGTTGGTCGACATAGTTACTGATCTCGAATTGGTGTGGGACGGGCTCGAGCCACGAGGTATAGCCTCTCGCTATGTCACCTCCCCGAGTGATGCGTTCCGGATCATCGGGCACGGTAGAGCCGGCAAAACAGGCTGAACCAATCGGGTCAGCCCGAAAGCCCGCAAAGAAATTCGGGCTCGAACAAAAAAATTAGAACCCGTTTATTATCATCGCTTTTAAGTCAGGCCCGATGTTAACCGGGCTAGCCCATTTATTTGTTTATTTTCTTGACAAAATTTTAATACAATATACTACTAATATCTATATTATGTTTTAATAAAGATACCATTTCAATTGCTTATTGATATATATTAAATGTATAATATAGTTATTCATAGTTCACAAAAAAGTTCAATTATATATATATATATATATATATATATATATATATATATATATATATATATATATATATATATATATATATATATATATATATATATATATATATATATATATATATATATATATATATATATATATATATATATTTAAATTTTTTGTTTATTTGATTTAATTTGAACATTTAATATCATTAAAATGAATCTTAATATTCTTTGCTCCATTTTATAATTAATAAATAATTGTCTATAAATAAATTTTATTAAAATTTAATTCTAGTATAAATAATTAGTTATTTAATTGCGTAGTTTATTTTTAAGATGTTTTATCTTAGATGTTAGGTATGTAATTGAGTTATATTGTCTTTAGTGCTTAATATTTATATATGTTTTACTTTTTAGTTTATGATTTATTAATTTTTTAGTTTAATTTTTTTTTAAATTCATTTTTTAATTAAAAAATAAATATTAAATATAATTTCGGCCGACCCGATTAATCGAGGCCCGTGAAGGGCCGGGCTTAACACGTTTAAAATCTGGGCATTTAGGCCCGAAACGCTAAAGGCCCGAACCCGTCATGAGTCGGACCGAAGCGGGCCGGGTAGCCTGTTTTTCCAACTCTAGAGCACGGTGTGGAGAAGAGGGATTTGTGCAGACCTGAAATATTTTCAAACCCGTTGAGGTCGGGAGGATCTGCTTATTCTACCAGGGGAATCATTTTCCCATGTATGACTTCGTCTTCAAGAAATTAGGGCTTCAGTTTCCCTTCAGTGATTTCCAGATCGAGGTATTTGGTCATCTGACGTTAGCACATTCCCAACTTCACCCAAACACAATCGCCTTTATTCGAGCTTTTGAGATCGCTTGTCGATATCTTAAGCTCGGGGCTACGATCCCTCTATTCTTCTGATGCTTTCACCTTCAACGACATTCCTCAAATGGGAAACATAACTGGGTTTCCCTGAAACAACCGAAGAGGCTTTTTAAGATGTTCATGGACTATGCCCGTGACTTCAAGGATCGATACTATCTTATTAAGCATGTGTCGCAGGAAGCTTTTGACTTAGTGCTCGTGTGGGCGATCATGGTCGACAAGGACGAGAACATGTGCTATGATGAGAATGGGAACGAGTAGTCGAAGATAGTCTCAAAATTCCCTCTTCATTGAGGCGAGACTCGTTTCCTGAATAAAATGGAGTATTACATCACTAAACCAGACGATTTGGACGACGAGGATGAAGTGTGTTATAGAAAACTAATAAGTTTGTAGATGGTTTCTTCCCTGCTAAGTGGGAGACGAGAAGTGGGGAAGATGTCCTTGATGATAAGAGTCAGCCTGTGTATGAGGCTCGACTCATCAATACTAAGGAGCTTCTCGAATACAAAACCTTCGAGGAAGTTGTAGTGCTTTTAGGTACCCGCATTTCACTTATTTTAGTTTACCCACATGTTTTTCTCCTCGTCGTACAAACTTGTGTTTGTTATTTGCTGTAGATAAGGTGTCAAGTTTGAAGGAGCGCATGCTCAAGATGGCGTACAATAAAGGGAAAGCCCGGAAGGTTCAGGAGAAAATGACCCAAAGTCGCTTCGTCCCGTCTCTAGACCAACCCAAGGATGATTTCGGTACTTCTTCTTCATATCCTACTATCGATCATCCCTCTTCCAAGCAAGAGAACTTGGGTTAAAAGAGGGGTCGCTCAGAGGATGATATTCCTGACCTCACAAGGGATGCTCCTGAATCTAAGTTTACATTGCCTCCTTGTTTCGTGGAGAAGAGCTTTTTTGAATGTTATCCTCTAGACGTGCCTCAAGTTGATTCTTTAGTCATCCAAGGTCTTGATACCGCAGGCAAGAGGAAAAGGCTTTCCGAGGACACTGCTGGTATGGTGAGGATTTTGGAGATGGCCATGGTCCTTACCGGTGATGAGGATAGCTTCGCAGTTGCATTGGGGAGATTGCAGACAGCAAAATCAGCCCTCGAGGTAAAGGTGAACAAGATAGAGTCTGACTTTGGTAGTTTTAAAGAAAAGTGTAAGCTCCAAGCTACCGACCTGAAGAAAAAGGAGGAGGAGGTGACAAATCTGTCTGTGACGAGGGGTGCCTGATTGCTTGAAAAGAAGGCTCTCGAGGATGAAATTGCTGGTTTGAAGGCCGTTGTGGCCCCTATTGAGGATGAAGCCGATGATGTGAAAGCCTTGAAGACCCGAATCGAGCTGGTTTCTCGAATTTAAGTGGTCGAGCAAGATTTCCTGTGAGCTATTGATATAGGTTTTAACAGTGTAGTGGCTGAACTCCAGATTATGAATCTGGGGGTCGAGCTTGCCACCGAATGGATTGGCTGCTTTCACCAGGTGGTTGACGGCCTGATAATACCTCCTCCTAGATCCCCTCATGAGGTCGAAGAAGATGGGGGACCCCATTTTGATGAAAATTCGACTAACGAGGAGCGTGTACCCAAGAATTGATCATGTTTGTTTGTTGACTATTTTGTTTGGGCCCGCGTGCCCGTAATTTTTTAATATTCAGACAATGGGCTTTGTCTGAAATTTATTTGTAATATTTTGATATCTTTAACCGATGTGGTCTTTTACTTTAATTCTAATCGACGTGTTTCTGCTTGTTTGTCTTATTATTTCCGCTTTGTATTTATTTTCTCAGGATGGGTGTTCGGGGTGCCCGTTGATTAGGGCAGTCCATGGGTGGAAATGTTATTGTGAAATAATTTTGCTAAGTGTTTGGGGGTATTGCATCGACAGAGTTAGCGCTTGATGGTTTGGGGAACAACTCGAGGAAACAAAGTTGAGTTCTATTTGATAACAAAACCAAGATTGCAGTCGAGGTACTGACTTCGCAGAGTGAACTTTCCCATCACAAGCTGGGTGTTTTGCCTCATCGGTACTGCGATGGTGGAGCTCAGTCGAGGTATCTTTGTCAGGCTAAGGTTTTACTCGTAAAATGAGAGGGAGCTCGCCTTTTAGTTCAAGTTTGGGATGTTGTGTTTGTACCGTAACACACTTCCATGGTCGGGCGTGCCTCGTTGCCTGTTGAACGGGGAAGACTGGCTGTTAGACCTAGATGTAGTATTGTTACGACTAACTCTAATACTACTTTAGTTTTTCGGTGTTCCATGGTCGAGCAAGTTTTTCCCCATTCAAGTTCTCGAGGTGATAGGCCATATTGTCTGTTTTTGCTCGAACACGGTATGGGCCCTCCAAGTTCGCGACAAATTTTCCCTCACACGGGTTTTTCTGATTTATCCATAGGACTAGACTGTCGACTTGGAATTCGCATTTAATGACTTTAGCATCATGGCGCAGAGGCACATTTTGTTTTAATGTGGCTCCGCAGAGGGCTTCCCCAAATCGAATTTCTTCGACTAGGTCTAGCTCATCTCTTAGGGCTTCATCATTCATCTCCTTATTGAGGGGAGCTTCAGTTTGCCTCGATGGCTCTCGGATTTGCACTAGGATTACAACTTTGGTTCTGTAGGCCAGTCAGAAGGGAGTTTCTCATATGGTCAAGTGTGGTGTCGTTCTGTAGGCCCAAAGTATGTTGTATAACTTATTGACCCATTTCTTTTTGGCCTCACCCAATCATCGTTTTAATCCTTGCAGGATCACTCTGTTGGAGGCTTTGGCTTGTTCGTTCATTTGAGGGTGTTCCACAAATGTGAAGTGTTGTTTAGTTCCTAGTTTGGCGATGAAGTCTTGGAAGTTTCTGTCGGTGAACCGCGTCCCGTTATCGGTGATGAGTGCTTAAGGTATACCAAACCGGGAAAACACATTTCTCTTGTACAAACACAATATGTTTTGTGTCGTGATCTTGGAAAGAGCTTCAACCTCAATACACTTCATGAAGTAGTCGAAGAAAATAATCAAGTATTTATTCTGGTAGGATCATACGGTGAAAGGGCCGAGGATGTCCATTCCCCACCAGGCGAAGGGCCATGGAGACAATATATATTTAAGCTCGTTGGATGGTGCCAAGTGCATATTTGTGTGGCATTGGAACTTATCACATTGCTTGACATGCTCTTTCGCGTCGTGCTGCATGGTAGGCCATTAGTATCCTGCTCTTAGAGCCTTTCGTTCCCGGGATCTCCATCCCAGATGTTGGGTGTTGATCCTTTCGTGGATTTCTCGAAGGATGTGAGGGACACTGGTCTCATCGACACACTTCAAAAGTGGGATAGAGAATCCTCGTTGGTAGAGTTTATCTTCGATTAATACCCAGGAGCAAGCTTTTCGCTTAGTTACATTGGTGTCTTTCTAATCGGAAGGTGATAACGCAGAATTATATCGTATATTTGACTTGACTCGCATGGATTTTAGTTTAGTTTTCGTTTATTTATGTCATGTTATACCGGTATTATTATCCTATTTTAGGTACCTCAAGAAAAAATTGTTCACGGAAGAGATTTGAGTAAAAAAAAGGAAAAGAAATGAAGTAAAAATAAACAAAATACAAGGAAAATCCCATTTACAAGAACAATGCCCATGAAAGTTTTCACCAATACGGTGCCTGCCACGTCCTTCATGGCACCTACCACTACAAAGGGAGTGGCGTTCACCACCACAACATCTGGCGCCTACCACTACAAAGGGAGTGGCACCCATCACCCCATACATGGTGCCTATAACACCCTTCTAACCCACATATAATTTCTTGAAAATATAAAATCAACCAAAGGCCACAAAAGGGTATTACATCTTCATAAAACCTCAAATAGCTATTAATCCTGCTTCGTAACACGGG